ATGATTTACTTTTGAACAAATAAAATAGCAATGAATCCTAACTAAGCGATATTATGGATAACGTCCTCATGAAGTAAAATGAGCTTTCACGTGTAATTCCTTCACAGATCATAGTTTCTCATTAGAACTCCAGAATACTTGACTTGAAATGATCATAGGTAGTTTTTGGAGACTATAGAATTTTATTCTCAACATCATAGATTGATTTCCTTGAATCATTAGTGAAAAAGGAACCAGCATTGTCATTCATTTTGTAACGGTTTTTTGATTATCCTATTGTCGATATTAAGTACTATACTTTCCCTCAGATTTTTGGTCATCATGTGTACATTCTATATGGACTGTCTCGATCGTGACGAAAATTTGCAAAGAGTAGATGAAATTCGATTAGCGGCTGGATTCATGGTGCGTATTTTTATCCTATTTAGAATTTGTGTACATCAACTCTGAAATATATAGAGGTACATGAAGCTGACGAGATGAAAATAGGGCGAAAAATGAGTATCTTATGAGTAGCATCTATATTAAATTACGTGATGCACAGTATAAAATACATTTGTTTACTATTCAGAAAAAAAAACACTTGAAACTATTAAGAAAAATTACTTTTCGTCATCATCATACTACAATGACAATCATATTGCTACACGTTAAGTGTTAATTTCTTTCTGTGTAAACTTCACATAACACGTGCTACAATAAGTTTTGTTTGATTCAATTGACTTTGACATATAACCAGCTAGTTACCTAACAAACCACATTCTTAATGTTTCATTCAAAAATAAATCAGTTGATGATGTAAGCATAACTCTCTCCTAGTGATTAACTGGATTATGAAAACGTCAACATCTGGAAGGAAGCACGGTATCAACTGGACAGTTAGGACGCAGTTGGACGATCTGGACTTCGCAGATGACTTGGCTCTTCTATCGCACACGCAACAACAAATGCAAGAGAAGACGACCAGTGTAGCAGCAGCCTCTGCAGCAGTAGGTCTCAACATACATAAAGGAAAAAGCAAAATTCTCCGATGCAACACAACATGCACCACCAACCAAATCACTCTTGATGGAGATGCCTTGGAGGATATAAAAAGCTTTACATATCTAGGCAACATCATCACTGATGAGCAAGGTGGATCCGATACAGATGTGAGGGCACGGATTGGCAAAGCAAGGGCTGCATTTCTACAGTTGAAAAATATCTGGAACTCAAAACAACTATCAATCAACACCATCGTCACAATTTTCAATACAAATGTCAAGACAGTTCTACTGTATGGAGCGGAAACATGGCGAACTACCAAAGCCATCATCCATAAGATACAAGTGTTTATTAACAGTTGTCTACGCAAAATACTTCGGATTCGTTGGCCAGACACCATCAGCAACAACGAACTGTGGGAGAGAACAAGTCAGATTCCAGTGGATGAGGAAATCAGGAAGAAGTGGTGGAGTTAGTGGATAGGATATACACTACGAAAAGCACCTAACTGCGTCACGAGACAAGCCCTCACATGGAACCCTGAAGGCAAAAGGAAAAGAGGAAGGCCAAAGAATACATTAGGCCGAGAAATAGAGAAAGATATGAGAGGAATGAACAAACATTGGACAGAACTGGAGAGCGAAGCCCAGGACAGACAGTGTTGGTTGGAGAAAACTGGTGGGCGGCCTATGCTCGATTGGGGGGTAACAGGCGTAAGTAAGTAAGTAAGTAATTTTACGATGTGTAATCAGACCGACCTCATCCGGAATATCCATTGTCTTATATTTAATTGCATATGACGATTGTGTGTTTCACAATATTGTTGGGGATGTTAGATCCCCAGAACTCGCTTGATATATGCCTTATTTTGGATTTCACGTTAGCAAGCATGGGTTGATCAGTTGACCTTGAGATTTGATTTCCCACCAGGAAAATCCATGGCTGTGTGATTGGCTGCTGTGTATTTTAGTGTGCTATTTTCATAACTGTCCCAAGGACGTTTCTATGATGTTTAAATAAACGAGAGTTGTGTGTTTGATTGTATTGTGATTGCTGAGTGTTTGTAGAATATACTTTCTACGATTACAAAGACTTCTGTCTACAGGTTGGGATTCAAGGTAGCATATTTGGACGCTGGTAATTGTCTCGTTCTCTCGTTTATCGACTAAGGTGAATTCGTTTTAGCTTCAAGCATACATAGTGACGAACATAACAAGTTTGAGGGTTCTGAAGATTGTTGAGTGTTATTGAGATCAGGAACTGACCCAAGTCAGACAATCATTGTAAACCTATAAGCAATGAACAATTGTTCCATTCTAAAATTTGACTCCCGTCAGTTAGAATCTTTAAACTCTCGAACGAGTATCACACTTAAAATCTCAAGTCTTGCTCACAAACGCTTAGCCTTTAAACTACAGAGCCAGTATCGGTCGGAAACAACATTATCCTTATGTGAAATCCAATAATATTTTTCTGAACATTTCGAAACATATTCATACTGACACGTGTGACTTTCGAAAAATGTTAAGTTTTTATGAAATAGATAGAATATAGCTAACACAGGAACATAGATACACACACAACTAACGGAAAGCACCCAAATAAATCACATGACAAGCCCTCACTTCTAACCTCCAAGGTCAAAGGAAAAGAGAAAGGCCAAGGAACCACATCACGCCAAGAGATTGAAAATGACATGAGAAGAATTAAAAAAGATTGGACAGACTTGGAAAAGGAGGTTCAGCCCAGAGTAGGCTGGAGAATACTGGTCGGCGGCCTATGCTCCTTGGAGGTAACAGGCGTAAGTAAGTAAGTAAGTAACACTGGAACCCATGACACGCGTTTCGTCGTTTTTCAGACTCTTCAGCTGTATGTACAAAACATGCGTATTAGATTCTATTGTTAGCCAAATACTATATACCCTATATAAACCTGTGACCTAATGTCTACATCATAGCAAATCGTATAGGATGCTCGTATTCCAACTAAGACTGATCAGATTCCAGTTAACCACTTAACAAATTGAATTAAGTGTTAAGATTCATTCATGCCTACTAATATATGTATATATATATATATATATATATATATATATATATATATATATATATATATATATATATATATATATATATATATATATATATATATATAATTAGTAATGATGTATTTTCATGATAAATAAACTGTGTTCTTATCAAATTATTGACATGCAAATGATTTTATTCATACATTTTTTTTTTCAAAACTATTTCTAATTTTAGTAATATCAAGCCTCCAGTTTGTAAAAAAGAAATTCCATAATCAACCATCCTCCAGTCAAATGATTGGGTTTTATTTATCTCATTACATTTTCGTTCGAAAGCTTAACTGTTATATCCCTAAGCCTTAATCAATATATCACGTGACAAAAACAAAAACAAACCAATCAGAATTATGTTTTATGAACTAGAGAAACATTGTTGAGTCAGCTCTAAATCCTGATTGGTCCACAATGCGATTGCTTCTTTTCTACTCTGTTTGTATCCTTATTCTTGAATTAATATCACGTGACATCAATCAGAATTACGTTCACAGCATCAAAGGGCTTACTGTATTTTGCTTAAATGCATACAATCCTGATCAAAACCGGATATCACATGAACAGTCTTTGTTTTACTTGAGAATTGATCAAAGCCGTCTTATGGTTAACAATAAGTGTCATGCTGGATTACTCAGCGTCTTCCATTAATGTTCTGTAGTTCCAGTAGACCACTATCCTTACTTACTCAAACTAATCATTATGCAATCTCTTTTCATTCCCGAACGGCATTGGTAATGTGGTGCGAGCTACTTATAAGTAGTATATGACGTGAGTGTCAACGTAATGTCTGGCAGCAGAAGATGGGGGAAGATCAAGAAAGGAAGAGTGGGAGGGAACACAATGAAATTTGTATGAAACGCATGAATAGTGACAATGGATTGATGATGTTTTGCAACAGGAACAGTCCAGTTCGATAGGATGAACTGATATTTTGCAAATTAACTAACGATTTACGATATGGTTTTCTGATTTTACTGAGTAACTCTGTAATTTTCGTTGAATACAATTCGGTTGCTCCACTTGTGTTCTCCTTCAGTACAGTAATACTTCGAAGACATCAGAACGTGAGATAATGAATGACATGGCATTTCGGAAAAAACTTTGATAAATAAATTCATGGTGTTACACCGCAACCTCACCCAATATTATGATTAATATTAGCCCATTAGATAATCAGTTAAAATTCATCATTTCATTTAAAGATTCATTTATCAGTTTACTATCATTTATTTGTTACCATGAATCAATCAATGTTAGACCACAACCATTAGAAACCTGGAAGCACTGAAAGACGGCCGTTTCGTTCTGATATGGGACTCATCAGTGGCAGTGCGCATCCATGACTCCTGAAACCCCGCAGGATTCGAGCCCTTCGGTATTGTGCGAGAACGCCCTAACCGTTAGACCACTGAGCCGATATCTAACGGTGTTAATGACTAACATTGATCGATTCATAGTTACAAATAAAACTTAACAATCTTCACACAGCAACCCCGCAATACTATCATTTATCTTTAAAAAATATATCATGAAAAAAAATTCCAAAATAACCACATTTTTTTTTCCATAAAAATAGAAATTACATTTCAAAATATACACATATCTTTTTTTTGCTTTTAACATTTCGGTTATTAATTACAAGAAAAAATTTAGTTAAAATTAAAAAATTGATTTATTGATTTATTGATCAAATATCAATAATAATAATTAATCACAATAAAGTAGTCAATGTATCTACTTTTTTTTAAATCAAAATGTTCACTGTTACACATTGAACGCGAATAATGAATCATGTTTATTGAATATTGATCAATAAGACGAAAAAAAAATGTCTCTTGTTTAAATCCTCAATCGAAGATTTGAAAAAAACAGAGAGACAATAGAAATAATCACAAAAATTAAAAAGATCAAGGATTCCTTTTTTTTTCTGGTTTTAACGAATACAACAAGGTGCTTTACGTTTTACCGGTTTGCCATGTAAACTGACACTAGTTCTTCGAGTTTTTAATTCATTGGATTTCTTTTCAATAATCTAGGAGAGCGAAAAAATAAAAATAGAATCAGTGAAAACTAATTTATTACAAAATAATTAAGAATATAATGAATTTCGTAAGTACTTATATTATTGAATATTGAAATATATTTGTATGACATCAGAGTCTTATTAGTGCTGATAGCCTGATGACTGACGAAATCTCAGTACGGATACAGAAGGCTCGATCCGTTTACTAACCAAAGGACGAGTATAATGTGCATTAGTTCACTCTGTCCTACTTTATGGTTGGTTGTGAAACATAGTTAGTCAGAGTAGAAGATATTTGTAGGTTATTGGTTTTCGATCATCGGTGTCTTCAAAGCATTGCTCGTTTATCCTGGGACTACCGAGTGAGCAATGCCGTTGTTAGGAAACGGGTGCTAGGTAAGAATGGCAGATCAATAGATGAAGTAATGAAACAGAGTTACTCAGTAAAATCGGAACACCATATCGTAAATCGTTTTAATTTGCAAAATATCAGTTCATCATATCGAACTGGACTGTTCCTGTTGCAAAACATCATCAATCCATTGTCACTATTCATGCGTTTCATACAAATTTCATTGTGTTCCCTCCCACTCTTCCTTTCTTGATCTTCCCCCCATCTTCTGCTGGTGCCAGACATTACGTTGACACTCACGTCATATACTACTTATAAGTAGCTCACACCACAGGGGCAGCCAAGCCAAAACATGGCAGAAATATCCATGAAGTCACTGACAAGTGGACTGAGTCATGTTTTTAGGTGTAGACTACCTGGATGGGGTCCACGAGATGATAGTAATCGATGGTTAGAATCCGTGAATGACAAAATGGCTCAAGACCGTTCGTAGTAGCGCAGGAGCATTCATTCCTTGTGTTCATCATATCCCAAACTTTTTCTTTTTACGTTTCTCTCACTAGATTCTACTTTTTCAGTAATAATATCTTTGAAACCTAATCTCTCCGATTACTTCTAATACCTTTACTACCTCTACTACTATGGGATTTGAATTGACAATTAAATCTCTGTACTAATGTGGCTATGGTAACATGAACTGATGTACGTACGTACGTACGTACGACGCTCTACGTTGCTATTGATTGATTGATTGACTGAGATTTAATAAATGTTTGTGAAGAGTCAATGTTTCACAGTGTAATTAACTATAGAATCCAGAATAATTGTCTAATTTAATTTACAACTTTTAACCGTAACTTGATGACATCCTAATATTGATATTCATATTGAATCTTGAATTTAACACTAACTGTTTCAATGATCAATATATGTAAATTAATTTATTAAAAGTTACTAGATAGATAGATAGGTAGATCCATGTGATTGCTCTAAATTTTTCCTGTATGTGTATCTATGATATTTCTGAAAATTAAAAACTAGACTAGGCTGATCAATTCAAGTTTTCAATCATAAATGACAGATTAAATTATGTGGGAAGTGTGATTGGAATTTAAAGAATAAGAGGTGGTAATAATTGTGGTTCAAGTTTCATTGTGAAAATCACCACTTGAATATAATATATAAGTAGGATTTAATTTTAATTAAAAGTGTTTCCTACACACATTGAAATAAATATCTGTTAAATAATATTGACTAAAATATGTGTTTGTTTTGATTAATCTTTTGTTACTGTAAAAGATTCATGTTTGTTTATTAGTTAGAAGTGTAATCTAAGATGTATACTTTTATATATATATTGGGACACCCGAGTCAGCAACGCTGTTATTAGGAATCGGGTGCTAGGTAAGAATGGCAGATCAATAGATGAAGTATTGAAACTTCATCAGTTGAGGTGATTGGGACATGTGTTGCGTATGCCTAACCACCGACTGCCTCGTCGAGCCTTGTTTTGTAGTGTAGGAATAGGTTGGAAGAAAGTTAGGGGCGGCCAGACCAAAACATGGCAGAAATCCATGAAGTCACTGACAAGTGGACTGAGTCATGTCGGTAGTTGTCGACTACCTGGTTGTGGTCCGCGAGATGATAATAATCGATGGCTAGAGACCTTGAATGACATGGCTCAAAATCGTTTGCAATGGCACCGGTGCATTTATTCTTTGTGTCCTCTCAAATCCTAATCTTCTGGATTCTTCAACACTTCTAGTTTTGACTTCCTAAACTTATCTCACTGAATTATACTTCTTGAGTAATATCTTCTAATCCTAACCTCTCCGATTACTTCTAATACATTTACTAACTCTTCTACTATTGGATTTGAATTGACAATTACATCTCTGTGCTGATGTGGTATGGCGACATGAACTGATGTACATACGTACGAAGTTCTACGTTGCAACTGACTGACTGACTGACTTATATATATATAATATTCGTTAAACAAATCATGTCTATCCTAAAATAATGATTTAGTGCCCGACGGTAGTCGCTAGCTTGACATAGTGGTTGGCCTTGACTATCATGGCGACTCAGTCGAGTTATATTGACTGGGATACATGTTTATTTAGGTTCAACAATGCCATACAGGTTGGATGGAGAGTAGTAAAGCTAAGAGCGACAACTTTAGGTCCCATGACGAAGTCTTACTGCTGATTGTAGAAAAGTTTAACAGCAGTAGATCGTTTTGCTTGGACAACCAACATCTGCAGCAATCCTGCCTTCTCAAAAGGAAGGGAGGCGTTAGAAAGCGTCAGCTCTAAAAATTTCACACACCACGGATTTCCATCTTTGGTGGTAAAACCTTCTAGAAAGTAGAGTTAACACTTTAAAAACTTCCAATAAGAAAGCTGTGCACGACCAGCCTCAAACAGTTTTCCTTCGACTGCTACGGTCAGTCTCCTAAGTTGTTAAGACCAACGCTAACTAAGGTTTCTCAAGAAGAAGTATCGTTCCATTGTGTGAACAACCGGAAAGTGACAACCTCAATCATATCTCCAGTGATTGATTGAATAACATTCTGATATAAAAATCAGTCCTAGTTATGATGAAACATGTATCTTAGATTACATTGCAGTTTTTATGTCAAATACATCAACGTTTTTTAAAACATACCGAAATCACTACTACTGAACAACTGTAACTATTACTATTTTGAAAATATATACAAAGCATTTGTCTTGGTTTTCTGCTTTCGTTTCGTTTCGTTTTACTGTCGACTAAAATAACACAAAGTCACAATTTTCAATCGGAATGACAAACACAGTTCTACTGTAAGGGATCGGAAACATGGAGAACTACGAAAGTCTTGGCTACTACCGAATAATGATATTCCATCTCTAGATAAAAAGGAAGCCATTTTATTAACCAATAAAATGTGTTCGTTTCTTAGGACATTTCTGATGGTCATCAAATGACCTTCTCATTTGGCCACTTCTGATTGGCTCAACATATCGGTTAATCACTTAATCAAGTTATCGTAGTGTGTACTGGTGTGTCGAGCCCACATGGCTTGCCCTAGTTTTTGGACAAATTAATCAATCTACACTTCTCTAGTTATTATTATTGGCGCATTTTTCGAACTTGTAAGTATTTATACGTGCATTGTTTACTTTGTCACTTGTATAGCGTTATGTCGCATCGTATAGAGTTGATCCACTTGTCTACTTCACTTCACTTTATTTCACTTTTCCGATTTTTATCCTCATGTCCATCTTGCGTGAATGATTGAATGAAATCAACTTATCAAATTGAATCTACATTTGGATTGTTATTACTGGCGTTCTCACAAATTAGGGTTTACTTAAGCTTGACATACAGAAATTGAAGGTGAGGTTTATTTCATCGCATATTCAAACGTTCAACATATAAGTACAGATACAAACCAGGGATATTCCTTAGTCTCTAGAGTCTCCAGCTCCGCTGATGTTATTATAAGCAATTTCAAGAACTGTTGTATGAAAGCTGCTTAAACATTCTGCACCACAGGCTTAATTTGTTTTCGAGACCATGAAGAATTCAGAAGACTAGAATTTGAGAGAACGTAAAGATTCATTTCTATCATTGCAAACCATTTAGAGTTGTATCATTCAAAGTCTGTGACCACTAGTTACGACTGTCTTGCGGAACCCAATTAAGTAGCCTACACCCACCAACATGGTTCAGTCCACTTGTCAGTAACTTCATGGATTTCTCCCATGTTTTGGCTTGGCCGCCCTAGCTTTCTTTCAATCTACTCCTATACCACAACACATAGCTCGTCGAGGCAATCGGTAGTTAGGCATTCGTACCATGAGTCCCAACCACCTCAATTGATGAAGTTTTAGTACTTCATTCATTGATCTGCCATCCTTACCAAGTACCTGTTTCCTAACACCAGCATTGATTACTCGATGGTCCCACACTATGCGAGCAATGTTTTGAAAACATTTATGATCGAATATTCTTCCTTTGGTTAATAGACGGTTGTCTATCATAAGCCATAATTGAAGCAAGTTAGCGAAGCCAATTGAGCCTTCTGTATCTGTCTCGAGATTTCGTCAGACACCAGACCATCCAGCCTGATGAGACAACTCTCAAGATATGTAAAGCAGTCAGCACAAACAACTGCTTGCTCTTACTATCACTAACTAGGTCAAGCACCATTACAAATCAATCCTGAATCAACATTTTGCATGTGGAAGGTGTTGTGGATGTTAGATCGCCAAAATGCTTTATTTTGGATTTCACGTTTGCGAGCATGGGTTGATCAGTTGACCTTGAGATTTGATTTCCCACCAGGAAAATCCATGGCTGTGTGATTGGCTGCTATGTATTTTAGTGTGCTATTTTTGTGACTGTCCCAAAGACGTTTCTATGATGTTTAAATAATAAACGAGAGTTGTATGCTTGATTGTACTGTGTGATTGCTGGGTGTCTGTTGTAGAATATATTTTCTACGCTCACCAAGACTTCTGTCTACAGGTTGGGGTGATTCAAGGTAGCCTAATCTGGATGCTGGTTCATTGTCTCGTTCTATCATTTATCGACTAAGGTGAACTCGTCTTAATAGCCTCAAGCATACCTACCACCTAGTGACAAATCTTACAAAACGTAAAAAATCACAACATTTTGACATATAGTATTTCAAAAAAATACAATGCTTGTCAATCGATCAACAACAAAAATATCACAGAACCTAACTTACCGAATGTACTAATGTTAAAAAAGCTTGTTTCACATGTAGTCCAGTTTTTGCACTAGTTTCCACATATGCACAATTAATACTTTTAGCATATTCTTCAGCTTTTTGTACAGGTATTGCACGTGCTGGCTATACAATACAATACAATACAAAATGTAAAATGAATGAATTAACAAAACTGAAAAAAAACGAAAATCTACCTACTAAATCAGTTTTATTACCAATAATCACTTTGATTAGTCGACTACCAGAATGTTGTTCAATCATTTTTATCCATGAATTTAATTCTTCAAAACTTTTTGGACAACTTATATCATATACTATGAAAGGAATAAACAGAGAGAAACAAAACGAAACGCAGTGAATTAGTAAATTGTTCAATGATCAATAATTATGATTGTTATGATTGAAGTTTGAACACATCTCCTTACTTACCTATTAATGCACCTTGTGCATGACGAAAATATGATGGACACATGTGATTTTTAAATCGTTCTGTACCAGCTGTATCCTAAGAGAAAACCAGAAGAGGGAAAACAGGTTTTTTTTTAAATGTTGACGATTTTTGAGGGATCATTGAAATACGTTTGAAATTGTTGAGGATGTTAGATCCCCAAAACTCGCTTGTTAAATGCCTTATTTTGGATCTGACGTTTGCAAGCATGGAGCTGATCAGTTGACCTTGAATTCTAATTGGCCGCCAGTACATCATTTGTAAATTATCATGTGCTTAATAGTGACTAGCTGTGTGAGGAAATTTCTCCCAGTTCTAGTAAGAAGTTGTGTTCAGTAGAGTTCTGTTGGCGAAGTTAGATTACTAAAAACTCACTTGAAAATGGTCCTAACTTATGGATTTTTTATGTTTCCGTTCATAAGTCACCTAGTTGACGTTGAGCTTACATTTCCCAATTGGAAAATCCTTGACTGTCATTAGTTGATGTGCTATTTTAGTATGCTAATTTTGTGGCTCTTCCAAGGACGTTTCTGCTATGTACAAATAAGCTCAATTTGTGCGCTTGTGAACCTCGTGTTGTTCTGGGTGCTTGTAAAATACACTCTATACGCCTTATCAAGACTTCTTGTTATAGTTATCCGGGTTGGGGACAAACGGATTAGCATAACCTATCGTGTCACTGGATCATTTGTCTTCGCTCTCATTTACCGATTAAGGTAAACTCGTAACAGCATTCAAGCATATCAAGTTCAACCCTGTTTGGGTGTAAAGCAGCGCTCAACGAGAACAATAGATAAGGTTGTACAATACTTTGGATTGATTAAGGCTAGATACTAATTCCGTTGGACATGGGCTCAGTGGTCTAGAGATTAACAGTTCACGCGTGAGACTGAAGGTCCTGGTGTAGTGAACAAGAACACAGGTGGGGCAACCGAATTGTATTTAGCGAAATTACAGAGTTACTCAGTAAACTTGGAAAACCATATCGTAAATGGTTAATTTGCAAAGTATCAGTCCATCATATCGAACTGGACTGTTCCTGTTTCAGAACATCAATCCATTGTCACTATTCATGCGTTTAATACAAATTCCATTGTGTTCCTCTAACTCTTCCTTTCTTGATCTTCCCCCATCTTCTGCTGTCAGACATTACATCATATACTACTTATAAGTAGCTCACACCACACTGGGTTAGATTCCCGCTAGCAGGAGTCGCGGATGTGTACTACTGATGAGTCCCCTACTAGAACGTGACAACTGTCCAGTACTTCCAAGTTTCTACTGAGTAGTCTAACAATGATCAATTCATGATTTCAATGAAACTCAACAATCTTCATAACCCTACAATGAATATTCATCCGTTTACCAAAGAAAAATGAAATAATATGAAAAAGGAAACTATAATCAATAAAAAAATAATATTTACCCAAATGTAAAGTTTAATTAATTCACCATTCAATCTCATTTCATGTAATTTTAAATCAGTACCAACAGTAGAAACCGACTCGTTGTCACCAGATTTTTTAGTAAATGATTGTACTAAACTATTCATTCAAAAAGGAAATAATATTTTTTATTATTAGGGAAAAAGTTTTTCACGAGAACAAACCTTGATTTACCAACATTTGAATTACCGACTAAAATGATTTTAATGCGTTTTGTCACATCATTGCATTCATCAGTATCATCTATACTGTTGATATTATTTGATCCCATAATTTGTTAAAGATGTATATATTTCTTTTTCTAGAGTAAAGAAAGAGAACAAATTTATCGATCAATAATTTTTGTGATGTGAAATTGATTGATATGCTTGAATGCTATGATGAGTTCACTTTACTCGGTAAACAGCACGAAGGTCAACGATACAGTGACACGATAAGTTATGCTAATCCGTTTGTCCCCAACCCGGATAACTATAACAAGAAGTCTTGATAAGGCGCATAGAGTGAAGTCTACAAGCACCAAAGAAAATATGAGGTCGATAAGCACACAAATCGAGTTTATTTATACATTGATAGAGATGCCGTTGAGATCAACACAAAATAGCATCCTATAATAATCCATCAACCAATGACAGTCAAGGATTATTCGTCAAATATCTGAAGAGAATTATTTTTGTAAGTCTAATTCTATTGGTCAATTCCTAAAGTTCAATATTATAGTGGTCTTAGCTATCAATATGACATACTTCAATGTTGTTTCCCATTGGTCGTCCTAACTATCAATGTCGCATACTTCCTATTCGATCTAACTGTATAAATACGCATTATCTATAACGTTTTATGACCCAGACCAGGACCCGGATCCTTAGTCCAGGATCCTCATCCTCTTCTGGACTCGGACATCGTAATTTCTGGATGTTTGTAGAATATATGTTCTACCTCATATCAAGTACTCTTGTTTTACTCAATGGGGGTTTGGGACAATTGGATTAGAGTAGCTTGTCGTGTCGCTGGATCCTCGATCCTCGCTCTCATTTACTACTGACTAAGGTGAACTTGTAGTAGTTCAAGCATATCAACATGACATATGTACGTGCATTCGTAATAATTTAATCTTAAAATCAACTGATCAGCACATGCTCGAAAACATAAAATCCAAAATTAAGACCTTTCTCAAGTCTCATTAAGACTTATTAACTGACAATATTGTGGGGAATCGACCTCGTAATCTCATCTAACTGTACGTTGAAATGTTCGCCATGAAGATTGTTTTGTGAATGGTTCTCAGAAACAATCCCTCGTTGTCTGTAAAGTCTTGATTTCTGAATTATCATGATCAATAAATATATGAGATAATAAACAATATGAGGCATTCATGAAGAGAAATCACTACCACGTTCAACATGATTACATCATCAACTGATCTATTATTGAGTGAAACAGTAGGAATGTGATTTGTCATATAAGTCATTATGTGACAAAGTGAATAGTTTCAGATCACATGTTATGTGCAATTTGCACACAGAAAGAAGTTGTCATTTAACATGTATTAACGTCATTGTCATTGCATATGATAATGGAAAGTAATTTTTTTTATTAATAACGTTCCATTTCTCTTTCACTTAATGTTTCATAATTTGTAGTGTGGTTACAGTCTAGTATGCTTGCGTGTAAACCTGCATACGTTTGAAATATAGTATCAATAATAATGACATAATCTTTTGGTGGAGTTTCGTTCTCTGAGTCAGCTGAGAGAACTCCACCATTTCAAAAATGGAATCTGTCTGCTAACTTTTGGGACTGATTTCAAGTCACAAAGGGAAATATGTGAATAGCAGACCAATAGGAGCGTAGCTGCATCCGCTCACTATTAGAAGTCCTAGTCAGGTGTAAAACTGATTAAGTTTTTAACTTAACACCATGCGCGAAACAGAATTCCGATCGGTGACTTTGGAATGTTATACTGGTTAGCACTTCAAGACATTGAAAATGAGGTGGTCTGTTAGATTAGATTGAACAAAGTCCAGAATTTAAAGTGTTACTAACATGGAATAGTTGTTTGAAACAAATCTTGTCGGTTATATGCTCATTTAACCTAAAAAAAACTCAGTTATTTAAAATACCTAGTTTTATTAATTTGGAATTCACACTGTACACAATATATTTACGGAGATTAAGGACCTATTATACAAGATTTAATGGCAGTTCACACTGAATTAATTCATGATGTATATATTATAAAGATCATCTAATTACCTTCATTTTTTACATGACTAAAATCTATCAATCAACACATTGCAAAGAAGCATCTAGATCCTATCTCAAATCATGCTACTGGTGTGCATATATATGTTGGCTACAGCACTCTAATTTTCAGTCACACACCAAATAATCTCATTTTTAAAACAAATACTATAATGAGTTTACACACAATAAGTGAATACTGACCTATAACTCTCATGGTCTACTCAGAGAGCCAATCAAAACTGGCCGAATAGCAACGAAGGCCATTCATTCACAATGACCATTAAAAAATGTCCTCAAGGACGAATACATATCATTGGTTAATAATAAAATGGCTTCTTTTTTCTAAAACGGATATGGAGTATCTCAAATCGATTATCTGTTGAGCTGTGCATTTTGAAACACTGATAAATACACTGAACAGTATTGATTTAAAATGGTTTCTTTTTCTCTATTATTCTAATACTATCTGAAATATATTTGTATCTTCAATTAATCAATAAGATTTACACCTCATATTGAAAATAATCATTTAAAAAATTCAACTACACAAAATGCAAATCTGATTACATTTATCATTGTTACATGAATTACTACTTACTTACTTACTTTCTTTAATGAACAGAAAATATTGAGTAGGATTTATTTCAATTTGTTTTACAATAAATTCATTGATATGCATTGATTTTCTATGAAAGCATGCAAGAAGAAACGTTTTAACTGACGTTACAGATAAGCTGTTACATATATGTATATATATATATAGTCAGAATGATAATTGATTTCATGTGACTATGAGCAATCAAAATTCAGTAAGGTAACAAACAAACATTTAATCATGATTGTTACATTTTTAGAAATCATCTGCCTATCATCATTGAAAGAATTTTAGCATTTATTTTTAAAAGAGAATTAGCCAACAAAAAATGAGAAAAACTTGTGTTGCCTATTTTCTTTTCTCTCTCTCTCTCTCTCTGTATATATATTTTTGTTTATCGACTCATGTTGAAATTAGTTTCGCTTCATCATTATCTTGCATCAAATGTAACATTTTCTAGGTAAGTGGTTGTGATTAGTTTTAAAGCAAAAATAAAACTTCTTATGATCAATGATCAATAATAATGATGGGCCTGGTTATTTTTAGTTATTGAATATTGAACGATTCAATGATGCATTATGTTACGTGTTTAAAATTGATTGGTTAGAAAAAGTGATTGGTAAACTTTGTATTGTATAATCATTTTTGATGAAACTAGTATTACTTATGGTAGGATGGAGAAAATTTGTAAGTGAGGTGGATAATGATTGTGGTGGTGTTTCGTTCTCTGAGCTAGACGTTTTGGTTGTGGAGCTATCATTGTTCTTCTGTCAGTTCAAATCCAGGAGTGATAGCAATAATAGAAGTATTAGCATCAATGGGGCAGATTAGGGAGCGAAAATATGATTCGAGAAGTATAATTGTTGGGGATGTTAGATCCCCTAAATTCGCTTGATAATGCCTTATTTTGGTTTTCACCTTTGCCAGCATGGGCTGATCAGTTGACCTTGAGATTTCGATTTCCACTACGAAAATCCATGGCTGTGAAGATTGGCTGCTGTGTATTTTAGTGTACTATTTTCTTAACTGTCTCAAGGACGTTTCTATGTTGTATAAATGAACGAGAGTTGTATTCTTGATTGTACTGTGATTGCTGGGTGTTTGTAGAATATACTTCTACGCTTACAAAGCCTTTTATTTCGACTTTGGGTATTCAACGTAGCCTACCTGGACGCTGGTGAAAGTCTCGTTTGCGTTTATCGACTAAGGTAAACTCATAATAGCCTCAAGCATACCAAGTGACGAACTTATCAATAATTCAGTGAGATAAATTTAGAAGGAGAAAGATAGAGATTATGAGGAATTCAGAATGTTAGAGTTTTAGAGTTCACAAAAAGAGTGGATGCACCTGTGCCATTGCAAACGTCTAAAGGAACATAGGTCACTGACCAACATTCTCCAGCCTACTCTATCCTGAGCCTTCCTTTCTAGTTCTGACCAATTGTTGTACATTTTTCTCATATCTATCTCCACTTATCAGCATAATGCATTCTTTTTCCCTTTGACCTTGAGGTTTTCAAGTGACGGCTTGTCTTGTGACGCAGTTGAGTACTTTCCTCAGTGTGTGCCCAATTAACCTCAAGCGCTTTTTCCTCATTTCTTTCTCAACTGGAATCTGGTTTGTTCTCTCCCACAGTAGGTTGCTGCTGATCGTGTCTGGCTAACGGATCCGCTATACTTACTTACTTACTAACGCCTGTTACTCCCAATGGAGCATAGGCCGCCCACCAGTTTTCTCAAACCAACTCTGTCCCGGGCTTCCCTTTCCAGTTCCGTCCAATGTTTGTTCATTCCTCCCATATCTTTCTCTATTTCTCGGCCTAATGTATTCTTTGGCCTTCCTCTTTTCCTTTTGCCTTGAGGGTTCCATGTGAGGGCTTGTCTTGTGACGCAGTTAGGTGCTTTTCGTAGTGTGTGTCCTATCCACTTCCACGGCTTCTTCCAGATTTCCTCCTCCGCTGGAATCTGACTTGTTCTCTCCCACAGTTCGTTGTTGCTGATGGTGTCTGGCCAACGAATACGAAGTATTTTGCGTAGACGACTTTTAATAAACACTTGTATCTTGTGGATGATGGCCTTTTTATTTCGCCATGTTTCCGCTCCATACAGTAGAACTGTCTTGACATTTGTATTGAATATCCTGATTTTGGTATTGATGGATATTTTTTTTGAAGTTCCAGATATTTTTCAACTGTAGAAATGCAGCTCTCGCTATGCCAATCCGAGCCCTCACATCTGCATCGGATCCACCTTGGTTGTCGATGATGCTACCAAGATATGTAAAGGTGGTAACGTCCTCCAAGGCATCTCCATCAAGAGTGATTTGATTGGTACATGTTGTGTTGCATCGGAGAATTTTGCTTTTTCCTTTATGTATGTTGAGACCAACTGCTGCAGAGGCTGCTGCTACACTGGTCGTCCTCTCTTGC